CCAAAGTTGTGATGATTGCTATGGGGTAGGCAAAACCTCCAGGTCATAGCCAATTCGCTTGGTAGGCAAATTCCTACCTGGCCTCACTAGTACAGCGACCACCGCAGCCATAGAAAGGTCAATTCAGTGAGTACAGTCATTCCTCGGGTTGAATGTGCTTCAGGTTGAGCGCTTTCAGGTTGCACTCCGTGGCAACCCGGAAGTAACGGAGCACGTTACTTCCAGGTTTCGCCAATCGCGCATGCACAGACACTCAAAATGATGTCACGCGGATGCGCGGAAGCGGCAAAACACGACCAGCAGGCGTGCCGTCGTGCCTTATGTTCCATTCAGGATGCGAACGGGGCTCCGGAACAGATCCCATTCGCATCCCGAGGTACCACTGTAAATGCAAAATTACCAGAGTGGATGAGTTGATCCAACAAAGAAGAGCTGGGCGTCGTGGGCTGGCATGGGCTGTTTTAAATCCCCCGGGAGCAGACATGAGGGCAGGGGTGGAGGAAAGGGGTGCGATGGGGGTGGACCGCCCCGGGTGTCACCACTGAGGGGGAGTGACAAAACGCCAGGCAGCACTCACAGCGGGGCCTGCAGCATGCCCAAACCACATCTGTCTTCTGGAAGTGACACGGTGGCTTGGGGGCCTGCAGGCTCCACCCTGCCCCTAACGGTCCACCCGCCTCAGCTGTAGGGCGGCTGAGTGGGAAGAGGCAGGCAGACTCCTCGGAGGCCCCGCGAAGTGTCCTGCCCCAGCTCACCCCGCCCCTGGGTGCAGGGCATGTGTGATGCCCCAGGTGCCCAATCAGCTTGCTCCATCGCTGCTGAGGGAAGCCTGATTGCTTCCTTAAGCCCGCCCCTGGAGAGCTCAGCCCTCTGGGCCAGCCTGCCATTGGCCAATTTGGCAGGCTGATGCAGAGTAGGATTTCAAGCCGGGAGCACAAGCCAAAGCTCACGTTCCAGCAGGGATCAGAGCCTGACGCCCAGCCCTGCATCGCCAGCGGGAACAGAGGTGCTGGGCATCCCGCAAAGCCACCACACCCCTAAAAGGGGGTAAGCGGATTTACCTGAAATCCCAGAATCAATCTCTACAAAACTACTTCATTTGGAGATAATTCCACATGCAAACACAGCATCTCCTGCTCACTGAAACAACTCTGCCTATTCCCCTGTGCTGCCCCTTACGCCTGGAACTTTTGCTGTTGTTGACTGAACTCACTAGTTGCTTTTTTTAAAACACAAAACTAACTCAAGATTACTTACATAATAGTAGCAGATAAATTAAAAGGCACAATCAACCAAAGATGGCAACAGGCACACATGATAGTTCATTGCCATGATGGATAAACCACACACACCATCTTCTCCAAGTTTCTTGGCTGCATCCTTGTGCTAATCAAGATAAGCTTCAAAATTGTCTCATCCCTTAGATTTAGAGAAAAGACTAGATCTCATGCAGAAGTACATATTTTCTAGTCACTCCGTTTAGAAATGAGAATTATTTCATGTGCGGAGTAGAAATTCGCTTCTTAGTTAATCATCTGGCTTTTTTGACAATTTAGGACTCAAACCAGTTATCCAATAAGAAAGGCAACAGCATGTCCATGAATGACTTGTTTGAGCCAGTGTACCAAAATAAGGTACATGAACACCCTTGGTCCCTGCAGCTATTTATTTTTATTTTTATTTTTTTTTATTATTATTACCACCCCCACCCCCATACACACTCTGGGTGGCTTCCAGCACATATAAAAGCATAATAAAACATCTAACATTAGCAACTTCCCGATACAAGGCTGCCTTCAGAAGTCTTCTAAAAGTTGTGTAGTTCTTTATCTCCTTGGCATCCGACAGTTAAAACACATGAGCACGCTTCACATATAAAATTAGTACTTGTTAGAACTACATTCAGGCTTGCTTCTTCCTTCACACATGCCTCCTTTTTTTTTAGGTGCTTCCCCAAACCCCGCATACCTTCCTATCTGAGTACTTTTCCCCTGGCACAGGAGAAGGCAAACTCCAGGGCTTTTCCTGCTCTTTCAAGCAACAGAAACAGAACCCGTAAAAAGGCAGCTCCTTTCCTGCTTTCTTTCTCTCCTGAACATGAGAGGCACAGAGCAACAGATCTGGAACGTAAAGCATTATTAATAGCCACTGTCCTGCCATGATGAGTCACCTCACCACATAAAAAATAGCAGAATCACAAGCAGGTTTTTTGTGTGATTTTTTAAAAAGCCCTTTCCCAACAATCGTAGACCAACAAGGTAATTTATTGGCAGCATTAGAAGTGAAATACCAATCAATTGCACTAATATTGAAAGCACGCTATGGTATATCATTGCCTAGCAAGGGAGGCAGAAGTACTTGCGGAATCCAACACAGCGATTCAAAACTCATTCCATCCTTCTGGGAATAATAAGATCCCTTAGATAGCTATTAGAGACATTCTTTTAGTCACCTAGCCATAAATATCCCATAAGCAAGAAGTGCTGCGGCGAATGCAGAAATCCGGTCACTGTGCCATCATAGAAAATTACCCCCCCCCCTTCTAAAAGCAGATCGGTTCTATGGGAAATTTCCAAATGGGCGGGAGAAAAGGTGTCCCACGGTTTCAAAGTCACAGGCATACATACCTGCTCAGATTTCCCTGTACCTTGTCATGTTCTAGGACAAGGATGGGGAACATATTTCAGCTAGATGGCCACATTCCCTTCTGGGGGGGCTACCTAGAGGCCCCCCAGAGGCAAAAGTGGGCAGAGCAACTACAGTGGTACCTCGGGTTAAGAACTTAATTTGTTCCGGAGGTCCGTTCTTAACCTGAAACTGTTCTTAATCTGAGGTACCACTTTAGCAAATGGGGCCTTCCGCTGCTGCCATTGCTGCCCCCGCCACCATGCGATTTTTGTTCTCATCTTGAAGCAAAGTACTTAACCCGAGGTACTATTTCTGGATTAGCGAAGTCTGTAACCTGAAGCATCTGTAACCTGAGGTACCACTGTAATGTGAATTGTACCTTTATAGAGTCAAGGTGGTTTATTTAGACCTGGACATCCTTCTCTATTGTTCATCCAGGCAAGCAAGAAGAATCATTAAAGTTAAAGGACACATTCCAACCAGACAAAAATGAACAAAGATGATCTGGTGCAGGTGTGTGACCTGAGCAAAGTCCATACAGCTATATTTAGGGCCTGCGGGGCCTTGTTTACCCTTAAAACTGAGTGACAATGCAAAATGTATGCATGTTTCGTCCAAAGGCGGCCCCCGAGTCCCATAGGAAGAGGGATTGACACTCTGAGAATTGCAGCTCTGGGAGGGGAACAGGGGTCTCTAAACAACTCTCAGCACATTTAGCAAATTACAGTTCCCAGGATTCTTTGGGGAAATTGATGACTGTTTAAAAGTAGTATGATACTGCTTTAAATGTATAGTGCTTTAAATGTACAGTGCAAATGAGGCCTAGGATTCTGGCGACTGTTGTATGTGCAACTATGCTGGGAGGGAGTGGGGGGGGAGGGAAGGTTAAAGTAAATAACCTGCCTAAAGTATTTGATTTTTTTTAAATTACAATTTCAGCCAATTGCCCACCTGAACATGAAAGCTGGTTTCAAAAACTGATGCTGACAAAAGGTGAAATTACTCAGCACATAAGTAGTTGTTGGCATCCGTCTCTCTTGGGAGACAATGAAGGAGTGTGCCTTCTTGTAGCTGTAGAGACTGATGCAGGAAATACTTGTTTTGTTGCAGCTGGAGCAGATAAAGGCGTCTGGTTGTGCTGCTGCAGAAGCACCATGGAGTTTCTTCTCTCAACACTCCTCCCAGCGGCCATTCCTTCTCTGGTCACAGCTATGGATGCACAACCTGAATGACCATCTCCAGTCACTGTGGTCATCTGCAAAGGATTCCCACATAGCAGGGCTGATGTTGCCAGCCTTCATGCCACATTTGCAGACATCTTTGTAATGCAGTTGGTCTGCCAACAGGCCTAGTGCCTGAAGAAACCTGCCTGTAGAGCACGTCCTTGGAGATCCTTCCATCTTCCATTCTGCAGACATGACCAAGCCAGCATACACATCACTAAGACAGGAGTGTGAACATGCTGAGAATGCGGGCTTGGGAGAACACATCATTGTTTGAGACTCTGTCCTGCCATGTGATGTCCAAAATCTTCCTGACACAATGCATGTGGAAGGCCTTGAAGCGTTGCTCCTGGTGGTTGTAAATTGCAGACCACTCACTTCCATCAAGCAGTGTACTCAACACACAAGCCTGGAGAAGCAAGCCATTGCTGTGGTTGCCTTGCCAATATGCTTGTCCAGCTCAGCATCAATGGAGATGTTGCGGATTATGGTGGAGCCCTGGTAGATGAAATCATCTACCACCTCAAGCGTGTGGTCACCAATGCTGATGCGTGGAGTGCTGGTGAAGTCCTGACCCAGGATGTTGGTCAAAACTCCCTGCAGGCTTGGGCAAAATAGTTGATGAGTCTCTGTAGACCTTCCTCGGAGTCAAGGCTGTCTTCTGCCAACAACATCTCTCAGATAAGGACCCGTCACACTTTTGTTTTAGTGAGATGTGCCAGGTTGAACAGTCCCCGTTGCTTCTTAAATGTCTTCAATCCAGCTGAAGGCACAGGAGATCAGCAGGGAAAAGAATATGCCAAAGAGCTGGGGCAAGAATACAGCTCTGTTTCACACGGCTCTTTATACAGAAGCCGTCTGAGGATGAGCCATCATACTGGACGGTGCCACACATGTTCTTGTGGAAGGACACAATCATCTTGTGAAGCCTCCTATCTTGCTGGGCAGTGTGAAGAGTCCTTTTCAGATGACAGGATCTAATATCTTCATCAGATACATGAAGGTGATGTACAAAGGTTACCTTTGCTCATAGCATTTCTCTTGCAGCTGGCGCAGTGAGAAAACCATGTTGATTGTTGACCGCTGAGCTCTAAAGCTGCATTGTGACTTGGGATAGGTATGTCATAACTGGAAAATTGTGGCCCCACCTACAACTGAGCCCTGAAAGGGGTTTTCTCAAGGGAATGGGACCCTCAGGCTGAAAAGAGGCTTCGACTCTTGCCCTAGAGCTTCTGTGGAAATTAAGCAGGTATGGACCTGGTCAGAGAAATGTAGAATGGAGAATGGTTCACTAGAAGGTGAGTGCTGTTACTTATGGAGCCAAAGTAAAGCCCCCCACATACAAGACAAAGGTATCACTAAGTTTAAAGGAGCCCCAAAATCTGCAGAAATACTACAACTACGGGGGAAACTCCCCCCACAAAAATAGGACTGAGCATGCACAGTGGTCATGTAATGCTTACTTTTTTGACAGGCAACTGTGTGAGATTGAATGGATTGGTTGGAATCCAGAAAGTAGTATTCCATTCTGCTAACTTTTGTTCTAGTTCTGGCTTGCATTATTGATCTTATACCAGCACCTGATCATTTCAAAAAGGCAGGTGTGTGTATCTTTATAGCTATGCTGTAGCTATTTAGCTATGTAGAGAAATTGTACGCCACTCCATGATTCTAGGATGAAGGGCAGTATAGAAATTTAACAAACAAAAATGTAACCTCAGAAGCAGCCTCCATTGAACTTCATCAGTTAAGTCTCTTTGAAGCAAATATGTATAGACCATCGTGGCTGTCTTTGTTTGCAAAGCCACAGCCCAACAGAAATCAAGAAGCAACTGATAAAACTATAAATGCACCACAGCATATTTGCCAAAAACAAATTGAATTTGAGCGGGCACACTCTGAGGTCACAGACACATACTGTTCAGGGTGCATTTGTGTGAAAAAGAATCCAATCAACCTCAGGCCTACTCCTGATGTGGGGCCATCCATCAAAGGAGCTGAGCTTGCTTCACATAACAATAATAGCCACCTCACCCACGTAACAAATGGGCACACAAAGAAAGTGATGGGCCTTGAGTTATGCGGTCTTTAGAACAAAACCAGAAGCTTGGGTTCCAAACATTGCAGTTTGCTCACAAGAAGAGTTGCCTCCGGCTTGTGGGGCAAAAGGCCAGAACACTAAGAAATTTACAGTGCAACAAGTGTAATGTTGCACTGCGTGGTATTCCTGCTCAGGGTTCCAGACAGGTAGCAAAGCCCTCTTCCATTGCACTCCATTTGATTCCACTTGGGACAGTTTTCCATCATCATGTGTACAGTCAACATTCCACAGCCACTAAGCAAGCTGTCTTCATCGGGCTTTTTAAGAGAGCTCCCTCCTTACTTTTTTCTCTCAATGTTTTCTAACACCTACATCTTCTGCATAGGTGGGGCAGTTGTGGATACATAAGGATCCAAACGTCAGTGTCAGATCTACATATTTTGCCATAGCGTGAGGAAGTCTGCACTCCCACCGTCCACCCCTCCTGCAGGTTTGTGTCTAACCATCCTTGCTGCCACCACTGCTACCAAGAGAAAGATGACTACAGTTTCATGTCCCATCCTGCCAATGTGGCAGCTTCTTGCCTTCCTCTTCCTGGGGTGAGCAAGAAGGTAGGGCCATTCTTAAAAAACAGTCCCTTGGAAGTTGGCACCTCTGCACATTCACCAAGTCACCAAGTTTATTCTGCCTTCCAGCATAAGTTAAGTCAAGACTCAGACTAGTTTTGCTTTACAGACTCCCTCTTTTACACAAATTAATTGGTTTGAATATGGGTGAAGCATGCATGCAAACCTGTTGCCCATTAGCAAAAATAAAAATAGTGTACAATTTCAGGAGGTGGGAGGAGGCAAATTTCCAGGAAAAGTATGACAATTATTTCCAGGACAACAGTAAAAAAAAAAAAAAGGAGAAGGTAAAGAAGAACTGCTACAGACACAGCTTCCAGAACAGATTGGAGGAGGTGCTATTCCTATTTTAACAGTGCCCAAATCTGCTTGAGGCAGGCTGCTTTATTCTGCCTAGTGGTAGGGTAGAGCTCAGCCACTTGGCTACATTTGGGCAGCCTGCCTGAGGCAGCATACTTTGGACATAATTAAGAAGCAACACGCTATCAGTTATTTCATTTAAATAACAACAACAATCATAATATTTTACTGTGGTAGGGTGTCATTTCAATGGTCTTAGCCAAGGCACCAAAATGTCAGGCCAGTGAGATCAGATGCCTGCTCATTGCTTACATTTTTTTAGTTATGTGAAGAATTGATTCTAGGATAGTATATCTGAAATGACTGTCCAGCTACATTTGAGCGAGTTCTGCGCACTGTCTCACTAGAGTGGTACATGCCCTGCTTATCCCCCACTTGGATTACTGCCATTCTCGGTAGTAGAACTCATCCTGTGGAACACCCTCCCATCGGATGTCAAGGAGATGAGTAACTATATAAACTTTAGAAGACATCTGAAGGCAGCCCTATATAGGGAAGCTTTTTAATGTATAATGTTTTTATACATGTTGGAAGCCACCCAGAGTGGCTGGAGCTACCCAGTCAGATGGGCAGGGTACAAGTAATAATGACAACATTATTATTATTATTACTATTTAATTTATTATAAATATTTACATTTTGCTAGTTATAGCTGAAAGTGCCTGGTGTTGCTGACAAATTCTAAGAAACAAAAACATACTGAGATTTTAAAATGGAAATGTAATTTGCTAGTTTCAGGGCTGTGTACAGCACCACACATCTACATTCCAGGATCTTGACCTGGGGAAAACCTGACCTGCATCCAGCCTTGAATCAATGTTTAATTAAGGTTTTTAAAGCCCTATAAGCTCAGGAGAGGGGAAGCAGGGGAAAGACACTGATTCTCCTTTTCCTCTCTTCCCAACTGAATCGCAGGGAGCAGAAGGGTTGGATCCTACTGGGTGCTGTTTCACCCATGCATTCCCTGTAGGAAACATGCTGGCAAACCAGCAGACCCCTTCAGCCAGTAGGGCTGCACCCGTGGCACACAGTTCCTGCAGTGCTGCTGCATGGGCTCGACAGGCTTCCTTGGCCTCCACAATCTGCTGCCCTGCTCCTGCATAGTTTCCTCCAGTGTGTCCCATCATGGTGTGGTTCAGCCCTAGCTGTCCCTGCCACCAACACCTGCAACTCTGTGGCTGCCATTTAGCAGACTCACCTTTCTGACCATCCCTCAACTTGCTCCTTCATCAGCAGTCATCATCAATGGTGGGGTGGGATGGGGGAAGCACATAACTGACAGTGAGAGACCAACTGTCTTCTGGCACTGGCTCAGCACAGGAACAGGAGACAGGTCTTCTCTATTCCTCTCCCCCACCCCAATCTCCTCTTCCCACCTTGGGACCTCTGCAGCTTCAGCCATTTCCTTTGGAATCCTGCTATGGTCTACTTTCCAAGCACATTACCTGTGGGTAACATGCTGGTAAAGCAAACCCCTGCAGCTAGCAGGTGAAGGGTTCAGTTGCACTTATGGACTGCATACATGTGTTCCCCTGCTGGGAACATGCATACAAAGTCAAAATGCAGCACAGGGCTGTTTGAAAGCCCTCTTACAACAGCCATGGGTTGCCCTTGGTAGAGGCTGCCTGACTCGCCTCCCAGCAACCCACACATTAACAAACCCAGATTCCTCCAGGCAGCCCAACCCAAGGTGATCAGGGGTTGTCTTGATGTGATTCAGTCAAAGTCCAGATCAGAGCAAATTGGCCTGGCTTTGTTTGGGCTTTGGCAGAAACTGGTGTGCAGCCCTTTTCATTTCTTGCCAAATTTGGTTAACATCATTTCAGTTTTGACAGGTTCAGCCCACCATTTTGATTCAAACTGGAGTCCAATGGTATCCAAATATAGACCAAAGCCCACTCCTCCATTTCAGGAACCACTGTCAAATTGGGCGACATTATTTGCAGTGCGGTCCAAATCAGTGCAGTTTTGAATAGTTCGGTCTGCTTCAAAATGACAGCCAACAGTATCCAAATATAAACCAAAAGTCCATTGCTCCATCTCAGGAACTGTCATGCAAACTGATTTCATGTCAAATTTGGTTTAAAATCTTTTCACTTAGGAATGGCTTTGCTCACCATCTTGCTTCAAAATGGCCTCCAACCATTTATAAACATAGACAAAAACCTGTTCCTCACACTTGGGAACAGTCATGCCAGGTTGGAATGATAATATCTCCAGACACATCCAAATTGGTGCAGCTAGTGTTAGGCCCACAGAAGAAGGTTTTAAGCTGCTGCTTCACAATGAGGTAAAACCTCCCAACATGCTGAAAATTGGGGTATAAGTTTAAATAAAATAAAATCATGATGTGTAACCATTGATTGCTTTATCCAGCATGAGTTTATCTAAACCCCCTTTAAGGTCATCTAAATTGGCAGCTGTCATTGCATGTTGTGGCAGCAAATTCCATGAGATGACTATGTGCTGTGTGAAGAATGCTTCCTTTCGACTGTCTTGAATTGAGATATTTGCTCATCCTAGTCCCACAACAGATGAATGGCAATACCACCACTTCTTGTGTTCCTCAACAAGTTCTTGTTGAGAACTATCCATTTAGTCCTACTCTCTTTTCCCAGTTCCCAGGTTCCAGTATATAAGAGGATCCATAACTGCTAAGTTTTACTCAAGGGCCTTTGGCAAAGGATTTTATCAGAAACATATTGGAAGTCCAAATATACAGCATCTACCACATCACCCCCAGTCACCTGGAATATGCTTTTCAAACTGTTGAGTTCCATACAATGAGTAGCATACTATTGCTCTTACCTGTGATCATGTCCAAAGTACTTGCAACTCCATTGCCTCCTTCTCTCTAAAAAGAAGAGCCTGAAACTTGGACTTTTATCAGCAACGTCCACCAGTCCAGGAGTCTCTGCAGATTTATTATCTGTTCTATTTATTACATTTATATAGCACCTCTATATTCCAAGGAGCTCAAGGTGGTGTACATGGTCAAAATAATGACTGCTTGTGTTAGCTGGCAACTTTGCTACAAATGCCTATCTATAGTTCCTGGAGGGCCTCACCAGCGGTCTGGGGCCAGAAGAGACTGCCAGACACCAACAAAGGGACTTACACAGAGCCGAACAACTTGCATCTCACCAAGATGAACTTGCATCTCACCACCAGATATGAATGGTGGCCCATGAAGGGCTTGAGGAACAATGCTTTTTTTCCCAGGCCAACGCATGCATCAGAAACAGAAGATTAGATCAGGACTCTGGTAGGCTGCCACACATGGCTATCAGATTGAGTTTGGCTTGGTGGAGCAGAAAGTGTGCAGGCCCGGGTTATGGCAGGCTCCCAAATTACACTTATCGCTCCTCGCCAATTGTTATTCTTGCCCACCCCTAAAGCTCGCATCCTGCTGCTGGAAATTTGTTTGGATGCAGGAGATGCTGCGGCAGCATCAAGGGCATTGCAAGGAACAATTCTGGGAGTCGAATGCCCCTCCCTGCCAAACCGAAAAATGCACCCACATCCCGGTGCAGCTGGAAAAATGGAGGGGGCCTGTCTTCCATCCTCTCATGGTATCAGACTGTGCTAGTTACCAGATGAGAAACTGGCATCTTCCATGAGATTCAGATAGCCCACCACTTTGTTCCTGGGGATTGAAGGCTCCTGGTGTTAATTAGCTCCTGTAATATGATGGATGACAGCAGGAAAGCCAGAAGTGACACAGGCAAATTGCATTCCAGAATGAGCCTTCCCTCCTCATCAAGGGCACTGGAAAGGGATCTGGAGAAAGACAGGAGCTGAGCTGCAACACCACCACCTGGACACAGTGTATATAAATACAATGAGGCTGTGGGAATCGGGAACAAGGAAGTCCACCCTCAATGCTAACAAGAGAAAACAAAGAACATTTGACCTGCCACAGGGGAGCAACACACACAGGTTTCTTGGGCTGATCCCTGTTGCCATGAATAAATTGAATCCTTGAGAAAAGGATAAGATTGCCCTGCCCTGATTTGGTGGTCGAGCCCCTGCTGCCCATGGGAAGCAAAGGAAGACACAACTAGACACAACAACATACTAAGGAGGAGAAGGCGGCAGCTCAAATCAAGGTCATAAGGGGATGCAGCCCTATCTCCTGGGTGAGAAGCATCCTTTTCTCTCCAAGACGGAGGCCAAAGGAGAAGAGATGAAAACTGGGGCAAGGAGGCAGTTGGGTGGGAAAGAGGAAACCAGCCATGTATCTCCCATGATGAAGTTAGGGATGGGAGATGAGACAGGCGAGGGAAACTGGAAGGGATGGCCTGGGTACTGCAGCACCAGACCACAGAGGTATAAAATATTAATATAAAGTTAAAATTTGGGGGGTATATCCCTAGTGTATGAACATCCATGCATCACCTTAGTTCATTGTACCAACTGCCAGTGCATAGTCATCCCATTCTCCTGCAGTCTTCTCTCTCTCCAAGCACACATTGTCCTAGGACCAGCTCATCCACTAGACAAACACAGTATTGGCACTGCATGCAAGCCCTGCAAGGGGAACTGTAGACACCGACTATGTTCTGCAATTAACTGTCCCAGAAAAAGGATGCTTCCAGAAGACCTATTTATTGAGTATTCATCCAGATTTGCTTGAGGGGAGACTAGATGATGTTGCATCAAAGAAGGTGTTCTCTCGCACTTCCCTGTGCATTTCCTGTCACTTTCCTTATTGCAAAAACACTGATCTTGGAGAAGCAGGTCTGTTGCACAAGACCTCCCAAAACACAATAATGGTGAGACCTGAATTTTCTGGTATGTGACTGAATCCCACCTGAAAGCAGTGTAGTTTGGAAACACCCAAAGGTAGAGCAGCAAGATGAAGAGATTAGGGCAGAGGGGACAGAAATCTACAGTGGGGATTGCAAAGAGACAGGAATCAAGACCAAGAGAAGAAGATGCATCTAACCTGATTTATGGATCCTAATAATGTCTAAGACCAACTCCATTCTCCACTTACAAAATAACAATTACAGAGTTCTGTTTATCCACCCTAAACTCGCTGTATTAAAATGCAATCTTCACAAATTCAGAGTAATCACCTGGTACAGCTCTGTTGGAACTATTACTTTAAACAGGGAGTTGCACATCTGAATATTCCCCCATTTAAACAACAACCCTGCATATAGAAAATCAGCTCAGTGGCAGATGACAGGCCAGGATGGTTCTCTCCAATATGCTTGTTTTCTTTAAATGGCAACATTTAACTATGCAATCCCCTGTTCACAGTCTAAAGTGGAGAGTCCCAGCAAGACTGTATTATGTGATTACTCTGAACACGGAAATCAGCTCTCAGGACTCAGCCAGTCCACAGAAATTGTGTTGTGGTTGATTTTCAAAATGCAAGTGATTTTTAAAATGGAAAGTGGAATAAGGGGCACTTTGAACTTGGAACCAGGGGGAGGAAAAAGGAGCCACTGAAAAGGAGTGCTCACTTGTCTCCCAAACACATTCAGTACACTGACAACACTCCTTCCAGATCAAGGCTTAGTTGCAAAAGCCTTTTGCACGTCAAACTTATTGCATGTCAATAACTATATTGTTATTGCCGAGACCTTAGCATGAACAATCTTTGAGTTACTTTTTATAAGTCCCTCAACCTTCTGAATCAGGGATGATCAGAGAGGTAATTCCAGTAACTTCTTTTTGCTGGTTAAAAATGACTAAGCACATAAAGGTGCCTTGAGTAAGCATATGGGTTTGAATTGTTCTTTTTAATGGAAAAAGAGCTAACTCACCCTAAGACAGTTTTTGACCTTGGCTGTTTGGGGTTGTTGCTTTCTACGCCCTAATACAGCATCTCCTGCATCTGCCAACTTCCAAACTTCCACCTAAAGTGCAGTAGACTATGCAAAGCTGCTTGCCAGGAGGACAGGGATGAAGAAGAAAAAAATAATGAGGAAAAATAACTCCCTATATTAAGACACACAGAGAGAGAGAGAGAGAGAGCGCGAAACACACAAACCAGAATCTGAGAGGTGGCAACAGGAAGCCCAACGTTCACCAAAATGATACAGCTTAATTCTACAGGAATCAAGGAGAAGGAACTTACAGATTTTGATCATGGTCATACAAAGCCCTGGAATCTGCTTTCTGGCTAATGCTATGCTATGTATTACATGAAAAGAACCAGTGGAGTATGCACATTATTTGGTGGTAGAAAATATATCTAAACCTGGGATGGTGAACCTGTGACTCTCCAGGTATTCTTGGACTCTAGCTGCCATCAGCCCCAGGTGACCTGGCCAATGGCTATGCTAGCAGAAGCAGACGGGAGTTCTAGTCAAGCAATAACTACAAGTCTGCAGGTTCCCCACCTCTGATCTAAAAGAGAAAAGCCAAACTCAGGCGCTAGCATTTAGCACTTCAATCCACAACCTTTCCCCCCCAAAAGTCAATCCCATTCATTTTAACAGGACTTCCTTCCACATCATAGGATTTGAATCATGGGGATGTTTTGCGGCAGAAATATCAGAAGTGGCCAAGGGCTAAGAGGCCAAGAGACCTGAGCTCCAATCTCACACCAGAATTAAGTTGATTCAAGGACAGAGATGAGACAGGCCACTGGGACACAGTTACCCTTTTTATAATAAATAAATAAATAAATAAATAAATAAATAATAATAATAATTTAATTAAGGCTATTACCTTGCCCCTGCCCTAAAATGCCTTGAAAATTATTCAAGCCAAGCAGAATTTTCACATATTTTGATTTTCATGTTGGAATTGTCACGTTCAATGGGAAAGAATCTTTAGCCAAACAGCTAAGCGAATTACACAAAAATCAAGCACTGTTTCTCAATCTTGCATCCAAACAGCTAAACAGTGAGAGGTGGAGGAATGCAACATTTTGTCGGCTTCAAAGAGACTTTTAAAGTTGCAGCATAACTTGACATTCCCTTCATCTTCATTTTAAAAAACTTACTGTTTAATCTCTGCTCCATGGATGAGTACAAAATAACCATCACGGGTATGGGAAAGTAATAACCAAAAACTCAAGAGACCGGTATTACTTTCTCAGGGTGGGAGTTTCAATTTAACAAGTGTAGCACCCCCTACCTGTTGCTTAGCTGGTCACTGCACTATCACATACTGCCTTGGTGAGAGCAGCAACACAACCTGCCAGTTACTAAATGGGCTCAAAAGAATAAACTTTCTCAGCTCAGCTCTAAGAGGTTGGACCTGGTCACACCTGAGAAGCAAAAACCAAGGAGCCTTGTCATTTCCCAGTATTTGTCTATGAAAATTGTGCAAATCAGATGCCCCATAAGCCTTGCATCTCGGCTTCTACGATTCTCATTTGCTAGAATTCCTCAAGGTCAGCGAGGAAAAGGAGAGCGAGGAAAAGCAAATGGAAGATGAAGACATTGCACTACGAGCACCTTATTCAGCCCATTTCAGTTACCAGCTAGTAAAGCAGAAAATATGGAGACCTTTGAACACTGCAACCAAATTCAGCCACATGCAGAATGCAATGGGAAACTGTCTGCCGAGATGACGGAAGCCATTAGAGATCATTCCTTTCTACCAGATTTGCTAACCGCACACCCATCTAATGATGGTAATAAAATAGGTTTGCCTCAAGGAGGAAGGCCTTTTCTAAAAAGGGAGAAAGGGAATTTCAAAGGGTCAAGGCACTGTGTCAACCCTTTGCGCCCAGCTTTCCTTCGCTGCTGTGCCCTTCCCCACACTTCCAGGCACGCTCTCCACCCACTGCCTAGCAAAAATTCACCCACGCAACATCAGCAGGGCTAGAAAGCGGCTGACGAAAAAGAAAAAAGGAAAAAGATAGGGCGTAACTGGAAGGAGGTTGCAATGCTTTCTTGAGACCAGAAAAAGCCATTTCTCCCTCTTTCTCTCTCCCCCCACCCCACCTTCTAATGGTGAAAGGCAAGTTTCTTCTGCACCCTCCTGCAACACACATACAAATGTCACCCATGATTCGATGCCCTCCAGTCTCATATGAGTATGCAGCCTTCAGCACAAAAGTACATGGGATCAATTACATCCCTGCTATGTCTGATCAGAAGCACGGAGAAGCTGGGGAGGAAGTATCTGGAGGGACAGCGAACGAGGACAGGCCTGGAGACAGTAGCTCGGTCCTGGATGTGACATGACTCCCACATCCCTCTCCCTTTGTATTGCAATGCCCTCCAGCTTGGAGACACACGTATCTGGCCTTTGTGAGGGGAGGGCGCCGTTGGGTGCCTGCATGCATGCCATATACTCTCCAGTGTTGCAGGCTGCATCTTCCCCGGAGTACGCTTTCCTCATCCACAGCTGCCTGGAGTAACCTTTATTCCAATATGTCGCAAGCATGTATTTCACGGGTGGTTAAACCGAATCATTATCACCAGGCATTTACTTGACCAAAAAAATGTTATTACCCATTGCCGAGTCTATTCCGCCACAACACAAAGACACCTACCCGCCTTCTCTTCTCCAGACCCCTTCTACCTTCGTTACATACCCTCCTTTTCAATATGCGAATCGTATGACAACATGCCCGGGGGGGGGGGGACAGAGCAGAAGGAGCAGGCGGCAAAATGCATAGGTGTGCGTTTGGCATTTGCTATATTTTCCAGTTGCCGAACAACGCCTATCAGCTCTCCCCCAACCCAACACGTAGATATAATTTCAAAATGCAAGATATAGAATTAAAACCACGGCCTATCGTGCAGATCTCAGATATTAACCGTGATCCGCACATGCATTGGGAGCCCAGATATGTGGGGCACAAAGCAAAGGTCATTGTGCTACGGTTGTAATACACATGCACACACCCAAAAAAAAAAAAAAAGCCGCAGAGCCATCAAGAGGTAATACAGAATTTTCTCGTCAAGAGCCGAAAAGCCTACGGGGGGTGGGTGGGGGGAGGCGAGAGGAGGAGAAAGGGTGTGTGGATAGAAAAACAGGGGAGGAAATGGCAGAAAATGAGGAAGGGGCTTATGAAGACCATACAGCCCTGAGTCTAATCCCAAAAATTACAGTCCATCATCGCCCCCATCCCCACTTAATATACCTTCTTTGCTCTCCAGTCTCCCCTACCAGCATTAGTAGAGACAGATTTCTGTATCTTGGTTTTGCAGCAGTGGGTCTAATAACTCGCTGATCAAAACCCCTCACTAAAGATATCCCCTCCCATTCTTTTTTTTTTTTTAGCTCTGGCCTAAAGAATAATGTGTTTTTAGAGATAATGGTGGCTATTAAAAAAAAAAATAGAAGAGGACACATCACAGACATTATTCAAGCAGCTCCCCCGCATCACCTCAATCTCCCACAGCACGCACCATGATTTTTTCTGATTCCCTCCCATTCCTCCCCCCAACCCTTTTCCCCACCCATCAAGAACGACAATCATAAATAAAAATTTACCGAAAAAACCAACAACAATGAAAAAAAATTGGGAAACGAAAAATCCACAACTCAATCTGGATAGCCGATCTCAAAATCCCAAGCACTAATCCGCTTGAATTCGTTCTTGCCCTTATATAAGCAGCAGCACGCCAACATGTTCAGTGGAAACGCAGTGTAAAATGAGGCCAGGGTAGAAGAGCCATGGAGAACGGTGATATCATCGGGTATCAGCTCCATCAAGGAGCCATCATCACCGGCACGATGAAATCAAATGTGGGGGCCTCAAATTTTAATTTATTTATTTACTGACGTGACATTGTTCCACAGACATCCCTTTCCCCTCCGTTTCCCCCCACCCCACCCCACCCCCCGTTGTTGTCATATAAAGGATGATAAGGAATACACATATTTTGCTCCCAAAGCATACTCCTCCACCAAGAGATCCCCCGAAAGCTCCAGAAAGAGCAACCTCACCGGCCAAGACTCTTGTTTATATTTCATTGAATCAATTAATACAGCCCCAGTTGTTTTAAGTATCACCGATATTTTGGTGTTCTTAGGTAAAACCCCGAGACGTCTCCCCTTTCCCACAATAGAGAGGAGAGCGCGATGGAAAATAATTCCATCGATGCCCATAATAATGGGGCACAGAAGCACATACATACAGAAAGGCAGCAAACTAAAATGGTAACCGTCATCTCTCGCGGAGGGGGGGAAAGGGGGGGCCTTTTCACCAGCCTTTAGATAAACTTGTAGAACTGGGTACCATGGACCATTTTAACTTAAAATGAGAGCGACAACACCCCGGCGTCTCATGGTATATTTAATGGCCGATTCTACACGGTGAACAGACAAGCTTTCCTTGGCATCTTCTTTTCTCCACCCAGATAACATCCTTCTCTCTCTCTCTGACTTTTCGCTAGACTAGTTAGGAGTTCACCCCCGCAAAATCCAGTCCCCAAAATATACCATGGCACAAATACTGGTTAGCGGTCATAGGGGAAAGGAAAAAATTCTCTTAGAGATCTGAGCATTTGACACTGGGAAAAATCTCATGATACAATTGAAGAAGAATAAAAATGAATTGGTTGGGGGAAGGGGGGGAGAAGCTATTTTCATCAAAATTTTGAATATTCAGGCCAAAGAAATGAAGAATGAGAGGTTGTTAGGTGGGGAGGGGGACCCTGGCATTTCAAAAATGGTTTCAGGAATTATTATTTTTTTGTTATTCTGCCTTTGAGGTCTTTTATTACCTACGCATTCTTCAATTTATTTTAACCAAAATTGCAAAAAACAACGGAGGGAATAAAATTCACTTTTGTGGGAGGAAAGAAAAATGTGCTTTGGTTTGGTGTTGTTGAAACAAAATAATTTCAGAGATTTTGTTTCCTCATCATAAAAACAAAATAAAATGTAAATGTAAACAAAAGACCATGACACTTGCACGCAGCACTAGAGCTGGAACCCATTGGAAAGGGAATTACATCATTGTCCTTCATGGTTTAAAATTGGAAAATAACTGA